AAAAACGCTAAGCCATGAAATTAGTGTGTAGGTTTAACTTCACTGTTTTTGTACTGTCAGGATATTGTACTGCAACTGAATGAGAAATTTTTAACAAGTAGAAGAAATAGATTAGGCCTATGGCCCTTCAGAACTGAAGGAGTATGTTCATAATAACAAAAAAAAATCTTCCTGTTCGGGGTTTTTGTAAAACTTATCTGTTGAAATCTTTCTGCAATATGAAATCATTCTTTTGCACCTCACTTGTGGAAGCAATGTTTTTAGTGAGATGGAAATCTTGTGCTGTTTTTGCATCTAGTTGAAGGTTCTTGAATTTAACAATTCTCTGATGATATTAACAGTTAAGGGAAGGGAGAAATAATGCATATAGTATTTCTTCTGAATTTTATAGGAAGAATATGTGCAATAAGGATTGGCATAATGAAGACTTAATATTTTATACTAAATACTTAAGACTGATACAGCATTGTGTAATTACATAAATAGCGGTGATAATTCTTAGCATCCAAGTTTAAGGATGTTGTTGTGTTGTCAGTAGCTTGCCATATATACTTAGTTGCGTAGCAAAGCTTATTAATTGTCTAATTAACTTTAATATAAGGCATAGTTCTCTCTTGTAACTTTGCATAGTGCTTAGCACAACAGAACCAATTGTTATTTAAAAACAATTCAGTATATTTGAAATCTTAAAGCTTTTAAAAATACACACCCAGCAGATCTTTCCAATTACTCTGGAAGAACAGAATGTGGCATGAAATATTTAAAGTTGTAATTCAGGGATTTCTCCCTCAATTAATTTTCTATTACTGCTTCTTAGAAAGCTGAAGGGAAGGCGTAGTTGACATATGTAGGGAGGTGTAAAGGGCATTATTTCATATCTATCATTTCAGTTCAAAGCTTCTTGAAAATTAACACGAAGCACCTTTTCGCATAGTTACTGTCTTACAAACCAGAAATGAGTGAAGAGTACACTTTTATTGAACAGATTAACATGTTTTGTCCTTTTGGAAGCACTTTTAAGTTGTACACTTAAAGGAACCACAAAGCTGCTGGAAGGATAAGAATTCCAGTAGTATGTCTTACATGTCAAAATTTACAGCCAAATGAAAATTTGAACAAAGACAAATCTGAAAGCTTGTTTTATGTATTTTAGAGGAATCTTTTTTTTAAAATATAATTAACTATCTCTAATGCTTATGCAGAGACTTGCAGATTGGCAGCCTGTAGATCCACTGAAGGATCAGTCTGTATTTAGCATCAGAACTGTTTTAGCCTGGAGACAATAAGTTGTGTGTAAGACTTCTTCAAAATGCAGTTATAGCCTTAAGCCGGGTTGCTTTCAATTGTCTGGTATAGAAACACGCCCACCTAACTTATGGATAATTGAATTAACTATTGCTTAAAACTTTTAATTCCCGTGATGTGCTTCTCAAACTGTTGTAATGTGTTTTGTGTTAATGGCAGTAAGGACTGCCTAGTAGAGGCAAAATTCTACTTAGTATCTAGGTGAAAGTCTTGCATGCTGTCACACTGACTTGCTCACTGCCGCTAATGTTCAGTTCTTTATGATGATCAGCAGGTCTGACTTTTTTCTGTCTTCAGCTTATGAAGAAGGTGTGATGCAATGCTTGATACTATACTGACTGGTTATATATGGCTTTGATATTTATGACTTGTATCCAATGGCTATCTCTGGAACAACCTGTGAAGTGTATATTTCAAAACTTCAAGTTGAGAGATAAAGTTTCATTATGTGTATTCATGCTTTTCTTTGAGTTGTGTGTATATTCCCATTTGCAGGAGGAATATGGTGCCATTGAAGTTATAAAACTTAGTCTGCCAGAGCTACACAAGTGTCCACTAAATGACACTCGTGACTGACATCTCTGAATATGAGAAGCTGTTACTATACTTCTTTTTCTTCTCAAAAAAAGTGTAGTTTCATGTTTATTTAGTGCAAACTAACAAGCTATCACCAAGAAAGTTGATCCCCTTCTGCCAACTTTGTAATTGATCTAGCAGCTGAAAAAATGTGGAGACATTTGATTCTTTTGGCTGATATATCAAGAAACTAACCCTACAAAAAAAACCCCAAACAATTTTCCACTGATGAATTGAATCAGCTGGTTCTGTGGCCAGTCACTAAATCCAATTTGAGTTGGAGGGAGGGAAAAAATCTTGATTTTTTTTTTTTTTTAATTATTATTATTATTTTTTAATCAGCTTAGCTATGCTTTAAAGCCATATCCATAAGCAGAGACAGTAAGATTCCCAGCAGAGGTTAGTCTTTACATTAGTTTAAATTTAGTTTTGTTTACAGAAAAGGGGGAAAACAAACGTCAGTGGCCAGTAAAAAGCTCAAAATCTACACTTGTTTTGCAGGGTCACAAGTTTTCTTAGACTGTAGCAGTCTAAGCACTCTAAAACTCAGCTGCTCTTCCACCTTCCTTAAGAACACAAATTGGGGAGGCACAGAAGGGCAAGTCAACTAAGTTAAATTGTCTTAAGACTGTCAGTGGACAGAACTCTGCAAAAGCACTTAGCCACCGTATCCTGTTTGGCACTACTTTTATCCAGGCCATTTTGCTATGAGGTCTTGCTGGCTTTTCTGACCAGCGAGATCTTTACTTTCCAAGTTTTGAGTTCTCTTCTGAATTTTTTGGCTTAACTATTATGCTTTTTTTTATGTTCAGTTCGGTCTTGTTAGCACAGGATATCTTTTGGATACACACTCTACATTCCTAATTATTTTTGAATCAGAGGAATTCTGGTTCAACTCAGCTCCCACTGTTGCCACCTTGCCCAACTGGTGAAACTATATAAAGAGATGTCTAGAAATCTCTACTAATAAAATTAGCTGGTGGTCTAAAATTTGAATACAACTCTAAATTTTACTCTGTAGATAGGTTCCTATGGGGTTTAAGGAAAAATATTTGTGCTTTATGTGCTTTAGAGATACTATACTCTTTCAGTGGTGTCTGCAATTTGTATTACTCAGTTTCGTGAGAAGAAAAAGAGGCAATTTTGATATTCCCTTAGATGCTGAGATGCCAGCCATTAGTGACATTAGGGGACACTAACGCGATGCAAAATACTTTCTTTAGAAGACTTTCTGGGACAATGTGCTGTATCCCTTCTACAAGTATGAATGCATCAAGGCAGCTTTTGGAGAAAAATCAGTGGTTTTTATTGTTTCTATGAACTTTATTGAACAAAACTTACCTTCAGAAAGCCATTTCCTGTTAGTGCTGGGTTGTTCTGCTTTCTTTGCCTTCCCCCCCGCTTCCCCCACTCTGCTTAAAATGATCAGTGTGTCCTGCTATAAGGATCAAATTGGAAGCCGTTCTGCGAGATGGAAAAACCTTGAGCACCCAAAGCGGGAATTTAATAGTTTTAGGTTATGTGGTACTAGTTAGTACTTATTAAAATTATTGACCATCTCTAGCACTGTAACACTTGAAACAATTTTCTTGTCATAGATGTGGGAACTTTGCATCTCAGAGACTAGATGACTCACATTTTTGGGTCACGTGGATCAGATAGTCTGATGAAAGAGAAACTTGCCCAAATTGATCCTTGTAACATAATCTCTCTGTACTACAAGTGATGGTTTTGTAGAGTTGCTTCCTCTGCATAGTAAGGGATGATGGAAGGTATTTCTGCATATTTTAAAGTAGCATAGAACTGATCATCTAACTAGCAGGATCTGCTATGGTCTATCTGTGCCCTTAAATATTTTCCTGCCCTTTGCTGCAGAAGCAGTAGGGTTAAGGGGCTAAGCCATATTTCTGGTGGCTGTAAGCCTTGATCTCTTAGTGACCATAATAAACCAATTTTGTTTTGTTACAGAGATCTGGTCTTGCATAGTGTGCAGGAAGATCAGGGAAACTTACTCCCTTGCTTAAAGTTTTCATGTGCATATGTTCTGCGCTGTGCAATTTGACTCTTTCATCATGTCAAATTGTTCAGTACAGCTAGATATTCCAGTATGCTGAAGTGAAAAGTGTTCTGTGTCTGTGTCCTAAAATAAGAGTTACCAACAGAAGAAACAGGCACTGGGAAGTAGGATTAGGAAAAAAGGACTATCCTATAATTTGGGATTCTATATAAATATTGGACAGCCAAAGTCCACTTTAATAATATGCAGAAACATCCTGTTGATCTAATATAACATGCTTTGGGTAGAGAGCAAGATGGGATATGTTAACATAGGAGTGTGGGGTTGGAGGGTAAAAAATTTACAAACTTACTGTCTGTTTTTCTTGTTTGAATTTATCTTTGCCACTGTAACCTGTACATTCCATGCCTTGGACTGTAGGATGATGAAAACAATAACACGTCTTCATAAGTCCATGGTGGTGTTAGAATACTTTACAAGCAAGTCTTGGACCTGGAATACTGAAAATATGACTATGCTAATGAACCAGCTAAACCCCCAAGACAAAAAGGCAAGTAGCTATGTGATGTGGGCGTGGGGGCTGAAAGTGAAATATAAGCTCATTAATTTAAGATTGAATAAGGACATGAACAGGTAACGCTGCTTACTGTAATGTAGAGCTCTAACCTTAGTACTAACTCAGCGCTTGAGATTCCTGTCACATCCGTTCGGTTGTGCCAGGGCACTGTTATGAGTTAGATCAGTGATGTGATCAGAGATGAGGAAGGGCAGGACCCCCTTGAGGGTGGCCTGATGTAAAAGATGGTTGTCTTTGGAGTGGCCTGATCGTGTGATCTGGTGTTGCCCATATAACCAAGTGGCCAAGCTGTTATGGTTTTACCTACATCATGAATAAAACAAGACTTTACTTCTAGACCACTATCTCTTTTTCTGATGAACAGGAGGTGGGTTTTGAGGGACTTTTTTGCTTGTTTTTAAACTAGTAACAACTTTTATGTACCCTTTTCATGCTTTGGCCAGAGAGCCCCAGAGTCTATTCAAAGAAATGTAGGTGTAAATTCTCTCACTTCTTTCTGAAGCACACTCTTGCTGTGTGACTAAAACTGCCCCATGCAGGGTGAAAAGTATAACAGAAGCAGGATGACAGAAAAGTCCTGAAGGTTGTTGAGGAAGAACAAAAACTGTTGTTGAGTGCAGGGTTTGAGTAAGAGTGAATGAAAGAGCTCAAAGGAAAAGTCATAGTCTTCCCACTGTGTGTGGTTGTTGACCATCTATGTGAGTCTCTCTATTTTTGTGCTATGTTTACCAATCTCAAACTTACAGAAATGCCTGGATGTGGCTAGCTTGTTCACCTTAGTGACTAGTATTGATCAAGGCTAGCTTCCTCTCTTGCATGTGTGCCTGTGCTGCCAGATTCCCACCTCCCTACCCCTCATATGGCTGGGAAAAGTTATGCAAATCTTACTGGATTCATTTCCAGTTATTCAAAATATATTAGTTTAATAGTGAAGCTGTAATGGAATGGAGTTGTTCTTCCCTTGCCCCTCTCCCTCCAATATGTCTCACAGGAAGATACATGTACGTGTTAAAATAAAGAAATATTGCAACTGAGATCAATTTCTGCTCCTCCCCCAACATTTAACTGAGTTTAAACTTCCTTTCTGCTATCATTTTATTGGTTAATATTAAAATAAAAATCACCCGTTACAGTTTTAAAAACTCAGATTCCCTTGTGCATTTGGAACAGTTTTGTCATCTTTAAGATGTCTTTCCTATTCAAGTGTTTTCCAGAATCTAGTTCTATAGTTAAGTTGAAGAAAAGCTGCCAAACTCCTAAATAAACTGTCCAAAAGTAGGAAATAGAATAGCTTTTGGTGATTCTTGTATGGAGAGGATTTCCACCCCTTCCCCACCTCACCTGCTCTCAGCAACTTGAGTTCAGGAAAAGTTTAAAAAACAAAACTGAAATAACCCCAGAGTTTTAGACTGTTAGTATTTTCAAATAGCTGAATTATCAATAAGATGTGCATATAGCAATAAAGAACTCGTTGAAGTAACAGTTGGAACTTTACTTTCTTTACTCTCACATTCTTGCTGTGATGATATATTATGGAAAATAAAGTTTAATTGAGAGATTCTGATAATTTACCAGTACTAGAAGGCTGTTCAGCATGTATGTATTATATATCATGACTAGAACTACATGTTGACCTTTAACTTGCAAACAATGCTAAATTACAAAGACTCACTCTGAGGGATTGTCTTCAGAACTGTAATGGGTTTATTTTTCATCATACCTTATAACACACCTGCCATGCTGTTAAGCAGCTTATTTGGAAGCATGGACTTGGGGATTTAGTGTATGTATAACAACTTTTAAAGCTGAATAGAGTTTCACTGCACAAAACTGTTTGCATGTCTCTTGTTCCTATAATGATGTTGCTTATTCTTTTACCTGAAACAAAATTGGCACAGTTAAAAACCTGCTGGGAAAATCTTGGTGTTTATTGGGACTTAAACGGCTGTTATTGTAGAATCTTGAGATGAGGAAATCAATACATTGGTGAAAAACTTGAGTTGTGAATTTACTGTAGTAACTTCCTCTCCTGTGGAAGATACTTACATGGTTCTTTTTAAAATATAGCTGTACAACTATAAGCACAGCTAAAAACACTGCATTTTTCAAACTGAACTTGGCACAGAGCAGTATTTGTTCTATAGCATATTAGAATTCTTTTGTAGCTTAAAAGGAAACAACAAAATAGAAAATAGTTATTTCTAGAGTGGAATTCCTTACAGACAGATGAAATGGGAAAGCAGTGCACTTGGAAGTGGAGGGAAGAATATTACTGCTGAGGAGGAAAAATAAGGCATGAAATGGTTGAAATTTGGAAGAGATGGTATAAGAAGCTGGTGGTTGAGTCAGAAATGGGATCTAATTCTGGATCATTCTTATGACTAAGGACAAGATAACTTTCTTCCATCAAAGACAAATTGAATTATCTGGTATAAAGGCATTTATTCTTTTCCCTTACATTATTATATATAGCAGGTGAATTTTTAGGCAACTAACAGTGAAAACTTAATTTATGCAGACGTTTAATTTTGATGTTCGACAACTACATTGGGCAGAATACATGGAAAGTTACTGCATGGGAACGAAAAAATATGTGCTGAATGAAGAAATGTCTGGCCTCCCTGCAGCTAGGAAACACTTGAATAAGTGAGTACACATTTTTAATTTCCTCTGTTTATATTTTCTGTTTTCCCGCCTTTGTCAAGTTTTGCTTTTCCATGTTATGACTTAATTGTTCTTTATAGCACCTGTTTAGGTCCTCCAGAATTCCGGTGGTCTGAAGCATTTTCTAAAGAAGTCAGATGTCATCTTTCTTGTTCTATTTGTTGCTCCTGAGTTGCTCTCAGTATTAATAGTTACAGTATTAGTCTGGGATTATGGCTGTAGCTCTGATCACTAGTGTATACTGTAATCTAGGTTTCTAATTTTTACCCAAGTATCTTTTGGAAGGTAAAAAGGTACACAGTAACACAAGGTCAGAACGGCTTGTTCAGTTAAGGAGGTTTAATAGAACAATAGTTGTTTCTTCTGGGAATGTGATCTTTTGAAGCAGGCGAGTAAACAAGCATGGACTCTCCACCTCAGAGCAGGAAACTTTGATGTTGGTGTTCTAAGATGACTTCTCTTAGCCTTTTATCTGTGGCTTAACTCCTCCAATTTGAATGCATTGTTACTGTCCAGAATTTTACTGGCACAGTTGTTCTTGGCTGATTCATAATGACAGTTGTAGACTTTTTGATTTGTCCCTTTGAAGAGTGAAATAAGTGATTAATCTTGTTCTGCAATAGTACTTCACATCTGCTATCCTGATAGCACAAAGAGAAGTGGTCTAGGTCATTACTTGTGTCATTCTTCTAAAGACAAGGATTTGCAGTTGTAGAGTGGATTGGCATGATATGCTACAATCTCAAATACACTTTTGAAAGATGGCAATCTTTGATAATGGTGGGGATAGCTGAAGTGGTGTCCCCTTCTGATTTTTTTTTTTTTTTTAAATTTAGATGCTGTTAAAAAATGCATAGGAGTTACCATACAGTTGCCATTCTTTGTACAAAGGATCATACCAAAAATAACATGAGAAATAGTCTTGTATTGGAACAGCATCTGGTTGCCCCCAGCTCTGTTTATAAGTGGATTATTTTGCAAGAGGTTTAGATTCTAACATATACTTATTCTGAGGTATTAAGTTGGTCTCTTCTGTTACCATCTAGCTCTTAACTCTAACTAATCTGAATTTGAGGAGTCCATTGCTTCAATATTAACCAGATGTGGCAGCCTAGGGGACCTGGCTTCTCTAGGAAACTGAGTAGAATTTTTTCCCCAAATGAAAAAGTGGGCTTTACTTTTCTAATACAGAAATTTAGACTGTTTTTTCTACAAATAAGGTATGTAGAGGAAGGTCTGGCTAGAGTAACACCCAGCCTATCTGTAAAACAAGATAAGGGCAGTGAGTATTTCCTTAAAAAGAGCTGCCTTTAAAATACAAATTGTCATGATCCACTGAACCAGAGAGATTGTTTTCTTTCTAAGAAATCTGAGCAAATTCTGGTTGCTGTTTGTGTTGAAGCTTCCATCTTTACCTGTGAGAAGATTGGCAAAAGTCACAGTTGCCCTGAAAGGATGCTTAGTTTCTCTTAATCTTTAAATCATAGTTCCCTGAGAAGTAATGAGTTTAAAATTGCAATGGAGACTCCAGGCTCTGTGCTGGAAAATCGTATTGTGGGTGTGTGTGTGGTTGTTTTTTTGTCAGAGGCAGTTGGAGTTACTTCTACATAAATATGAAGTTTTAAATATGTGGAGGGGAGGAGGGGAGTTCATAGTGTTAATATTTCCTTGGGTTTGGGTTGGATGGCAGCCTTGTATAGGTAAGTTACCATGAGCGTGACCTTAGCTTTAAGAGGTTTTTATCAAGCAGCTATAAAGCAGAAGTACATGTGGTTAGCTACAGGGCTGGCTCTGTTCCTTAGTAGTTTTCATGTGTTCCACTTCTTAGCAGTGAACTATGGAAAAACCTTCTCTGTTTGGTCCTTCACTTATGAGCTTACTTCCGTCATTCACTTAATACCACTCATAATGTATCTTGAGATGAATAGATAAACAAATTAAATTCTACATTAGAAACTATTTTTTTCCTGTAAGTTTTGGTACCTTGGCTTTTAATTATTTCTTTTGTTTTTCCTTAGGTTAAGGAATATACGCTATGGCTTCAATACAGTTCTTGTGATCCTGATCTGGCGTATCTTTATTGCAAGATCACAAATGGCAAGAAATATCTGGTACTTTGTGGTTAGTCTGTGTTACAAGTTCCTCTCCTACTTCAGAGCCTCCAGTACTATGAGATACTGAAGAAGAGAATTTAGCATTAGGACATCTATGCATATGGTGGTCTAACTGCACAAAGCCTGTAACATGTAGTCATCTCACATTTTGTAAAAGCATAATTTCATCTTAAATTGGAGTGCAAAATATACGGTATGGTATATGTAATGTTAGTTGTGTATCTTCCTGGAAACAGATGAAAATAAAATGGTCAAGTGCCAGGTTGAATTGGCATTAGACAAGCTTTTAAATAACTTTAACTCTTTGACCTGGGGAAAAACATTTTAGACCATTGACCAACACAACTGTGCAATTTGGAACGTGTTTGATTGAAATCTGCCTTAACATGATTTTTTTTCTTTTAAGTTTTACACCACATTGAGCAAGATAAATATTGACTTAGTAGTTGCTAGTTGCTATAGATCTATTTATTTGAAATTCTTCTAAATTACGAAGGGTTTTACAAGTTGCAAAAGTGTATAAATTATGGTGGATCTCCTGAAAAAAATTATTTGAGGACTTTTGTAATTTGTCTTCACTTTTTGCCACTTTTTCCCTTCTCAAAGTAGGGATGCAACAATGGTGCCTACTTTGCTTTAAAAGAAAAAAGGAAAAGAAAAAAAAACCCAACAAAAAACCCACCACAAAAACCCAACCTTCTTTAATTACTGAAAGGCCTTTTGTCCGATCTGGTCTTCAGAACGCACTTAGTGATTCAGTTCTGTGCTCAAAACTGGCTGCATCCAACTTGCGTTTATGTCAGCATGAACAATTTGCTTCTCTGAAAGCAGAATTGATCCTATCATTGAGTAGATAAAAGGAAATGTAACCCTGAGGGGAGCAAAAATGAAGTCATTGACTGTCCTCTTTTTTTAACGATTTTTATTGAGAACACAGAGCCAGCACTTGATTATTACACTTCTGACTTCAAAAGGTAAATGTATTTGAAAGGAATTTATTATGCTTAGTTGCTATTTATATTACTGGTAATAATAGCTGGACAAACTGTAGGCTTTCATTAAGAGATATACCTGTTCTTAAATTCTAAGCAATGTTAGCAAATACTTCATGAATTAATAATTTTTTTAAATCTGAGCTATGAAGTTTGATGCATGGACAACACCAATGCATAAGCACACTTTCTCATCCCTGCCCCAATAAAACCTCTCATTTCACTGGGCAAGCAGAGCAACATGCACCTTGCTTCAAAATTCAAGTATGTTAACAATTCTTCCATCTATCTTCTAACTTAAATTATTAGGTTTAAATCTGAAGAAATCTCTGTTTTTCTGCATGTCACTTTGTTTCAGTAGGGAAAACATTTGTAAAAATAGCAAGTTGTGAGAAAAGATTGAATCCTTGTTTAAGGCAATACATGAAGATCCCCTTAAATTTTGGTTGCACAGAATTCTACCTGAGAACACTGTAATGTTCCTCTGATGCACTGACCAGAACCCTTGCCCAGTGTTTGTTCATTAAAATCAGTTTATACTGATTAATATGTTCTTGAATCTGCTTGGAAAGATAAATAATGACTTAATTACACAAGAGCTACAATATGCTTCCCCTTGATAGTTTTTTGTCCTATTTGAATTAAGTATGTAGAGAACTTATTTTGCTGTTGTTGTGAAAACTCTTACTTTAAGGAGAACACCTTTCATGCAGGTGTATATCTCATTTTGAAAAGGTAATGGCTTCCTTGCTGAAGCTAAATACTCTGTAGTAAGTAGTTAAGCTGTAACTCCTTTTTAAAATTACCTGTGTGTATATATAAAGCTAGTGATGAAAAGCCTAAATGGTCTAGGACCACACCTTGTGTGAGAGACCTCTGACTGTGGCTGAAAATAAATTATGGCTTCTGTGATTGAAGATGTTACACTTTAACAAATACATTAGGTGTATTACATTTTTAGTTGCCTCCCCAAGTATCTTACTAGACCTGAAAGTATGCTTAAGCATTCCGTCATTGTAGACTTTTTTCCCAGAGGTGCCTACTATCCAATGACACTGCTTGTCCCATGTTCGCATGTGGGTGAAGTTTGCAAAAGACATACATCATATTCTGAAAATGATTCTGTGAAGCAATTATGAATTTTGGTTGTTTATAACTATTATACATGATACTTTTAATGTTGATTTGTTAGTACTGAGAACTATGAAGCCAATGAACTGATTATTTCTGGTCCAAAACACTGCTTAGAAATCTATCCTTTTGAATAAATAATGAAGAAAAGGATTACTTTAAACATAAGGATATTTAACCTCTATTCTTTAAACATTTGCCAATTTAGAAACCCAAATTTTTTCCCCTCTCTGGAGACCGTGGTTCTGTGCACTATTGGTATCTTACACAAATTCATCAGTCATCCTATTTAACTGACAGTAGATTCAGTGTCACATTTATTACATTAGTTTTGTCACTTCCTGTGGTCGGTCTGTGAAATTCTGTCTTCTATCTGAAACTACTGGGGTTTTTTCCATATCAGAACTCTGTTCTCTTGCAGTTCTTCATACCAGTGTTTGCACATAACGGATGTTGATAAAAAAATATACTGGAACTATATTTTAATACAGTAAGCTAGACTCACTATACTGACTAGCAAGTTACAGGAGATATTCCAGTTGGTTAAATAGGAAGAAGAGCAGACTGAAACAACATGATCACTTAACAGTTACTGGTATTTAAATTTGGGACCAGGAAAAAAAATTATATTTTCCTGTAATGTTTTTCTCTGCTGTAGGAACAGATGTTTGGAAACAAATGGTAAATCTGTGAGCTTTTATAAGACATAAACAGAAATATTGGGTGCCTTTGTTTGTAAACCAAAAATAAACAAATCCCTTGAAAGTGTTGTTACAGTGTTTACTGTATTTTTTCATGTTTTTAGTCTAATTTGTGGAAAATAACTGGATAGTGTAAATGCTATCTTAATATATGTGAACATGCTCTTTCCTTTGAGAGAAATTTTGAAAATCAAGTTAATGACTAGTACTGCATTTTTAAAACAAAACAAAACCCTTCACAACCACAAAACAAAAAACCAAACAAACCCCCCACAATCTAAACCTTCATGGTGATGTCAAAACACATGGTGAGGTATGCTTGGTCATGGTGACTTTCTTGTCTGTCAGCTAGTTTTCTCCTTGCTGTCATTGCCTGTTCATTTGTAGTATTAGTTTCAAATTTATTTAAATAGATGGGTGCTTTTTCATATGGTTTAAAAGGGTACTGTGGTTTTCAGTAGCTTTTGGATTAACATTTCAAGGAATTGCAAGCAACTACAGCTATTTGTAGCATCTACATTTTGTGGTGAGGGAGGAAAAGGTAGCATCACCAAAATGGCTTGGTTTTTTGTTTTTTAACTTTAATTTCTTGGAATCTTCAGATTTCATGGATTCTTCCTCCGTTTATAAAGAGCACAGTTCTAGAGATCATGCATGATCTGTAAGCTGTGGTTTGGGGTCTACCAGCTTTAAAGCATAACCTTTCCTTTACTTGACTCTAAGTCGTAAACTACCAAATATAGATGGTTTTTGTTGGTCTCCTTAGTTGATTCAAAATTGGAAGCAAGGAACAAAAAAAAAAAAGCTGTAAGATGTTATCCCTTACATGTCTTGTGCTGTTAAACATTTTGCCCTTTCTTCGTTCTTCGTAGTACAGTATTGTATCGTACATGGTTCAAAAATAAAGAACAGGTTTATAGAGGTAACTTGGATCTGAGAAGCACCCTGCACAGAGCTGGGAAGTATAACTTTTCATAATATTTTTACATATTTCACAATCTGCTGAGCAGACTTTAAAACGGAAATGAAGAAAAGTCACCAAAGAATGACTACTCTGAAGAAATTTAAGTGAATTGCTTTAAAGTGTATTCTTGCTGTTTGTCAATCTTTTTGTGCTGAAGTATGTGCAATTTATTCTGTCTAGCCTGGTGACATTCACTGTGTGTTTGAGTAAATCTCTAGAAACTGTAAAATAGTTCCAGTGGAACTGATATGAATTGTCTGTGCTTTTTTTAATATGTGCTCTACCATCAGAATTTTAGAAGCGAAGGTTGACAGGTCTCACTTACCCTTTAAATTCTAGGTTTTCTTGCTCTCTTCTAGAGTGTTCTTTAGAACTTCAGCTCTGTCCTCCTTTCTGTCTGCAGATGACTGCAAGTTAAAGGTTACTTAACCAAACTGTGAGCTGCTTCTCTGCCATCTCGAACTAAATTTAACCCTGCTTCCACTTTCAAGATATTTATAAATGCTTTCCTCCTTAATGTTATCTTAGTACTTTTCCTCAGGGCAGAGTTGACATTCACTTTGGCTTTCCCTGCTCTGCAACAAATATGACTCACTGATAGATAATTAGTAATTATGTAACTGTCTTTTCTGGAATATGGAACAATGACAGCTTTAAGCAGCTTTTATTCTTACTATGAGAAGCAGGAGAAACCATGACTAATTGGTGAAAGCAGAAGTTCCAACACATTAATGCACTGAATAAAACTGGAATGCTTAGAGCCATGGGCTCTAGGTAGGGTGAATGGAACTTTTTTACCCTTGATTCAGTTATATCCATTAACTGCAAGTGCAGTGATTATTACCAGAAGCCTTTAATTTCATTCTAATTGAATTGTTACACTTTTCAGGATGGTAATTCTATAGCCAGCCACTATCACTTGTGAAAAATTAATATCCTGACATGTAGAAGCAAGGTCTCTTTTGCTGCTTTATGAGTATATGAAAAAACTAAAGTATGAACTTACCATAAGATTCTTCGAAATAAAAAAATTAAAACCACCACTTGGTTAAAATTTTCTGGGATGTAGAATGAACATTAAATCTTAAATTCCCCTTGCCTCATGTTGTAGAAGTTTCTGCTACATCCTCTGTGTATGCCCTATCTCTGCTGTAGAAATAGCAATTCAGTCTACCACCAGGAGTGCCAGAAAGTAGTTGTGGTATTTTTGTTTTAATCAACAAACATCTGATTTACCACTTAAGTGAAAATGATTCAGTACTTAGCCACTATTAACTTTTATACTTTTATGAATCATCGGCCTTAATCCAGATTCAAGCCAGCATCATATAGTTGAATATTTTTATCCTTATGAAACTTGGTATCTCATCCTTTCCTTCATTCCTGATGAAATTATCCCACAATTGGATGTCTAGGGACATGAATAGTTACACTTACTGTTTTAGGCACCTAACTTGGATGGAATTCAAGAATCTAAAGTTAGGAAGCTTGATTTCCTCTATTACACAGTTTTCTCAGTATGATTCAGACTCTTAAGGCAAATGCTTAAAATAAGCAGGAACTTCTCAAAAGCAGTCATATTGTGGGGTGGG